CCTAGGTAATAATAAAAAATAAAAATATTTTGTTTAGGTAAAGTGACATTACCTACGGATTTTTGTCATTACCTACGGATTTTACCCGTAGATAATAAACATTTTTTTTGTAGTGTTCCTCTAGGAATAACATACTTCTTAATTCTATAATATTTCACAGAATGACCTTTTTTCATGCAGTAAAAACATTTAATCACATATGATGAGTATGACTTCCTATTTGTTTTTATGAATTTCTTGTTAGATGTAAATCCAATCCCAGATTTGTCAAAAATAAGTTTTTGAGACCCAAGAAGAACATCAAGATTAGCTTGACCTTGTGTAAACTTTGAGACAGTTTGTGATAAAAAATTAATCTTCTTTTGTAATTCTGAACAATTATTACATGGTTTATTGCATACACAATCAGAATTATCATGGATTAATTTTAAAAAATCAAGATCAGTTTCATCTTCAAGAATTTTCTTTTCAAGAGAATCTACTTTATATACTAACCAATTATTCAATCCTTTTAGCCTATCATTTTCTTTTTGCAGTTTCTTAGTTTCTTCATGCATTTCATTAAATGCTTCTTGTAATGAATTATAATTCACCAAATTTGAAGAAGAGTTAGAACTTACACTGCTGGTTTGATGATTCTGATTTGCCATTAGACACAAGTTAGCTTCTTCATTATCAGAATTCTCTGTTGATGAAGTATCATTATCATCCCATGCTACATATGTTCTTGTTTTGACTTTTTCTTCTTTCTTATCATTGTATTTGTTCTTTTCTCGGGCACTCCATTCTTACATGACCCTGCTTACCACAGCCATAACATTTATAGTTAAAAGAGTCAGATTTTTTTTCATACCTTTTATGTTTTTCTTTATCTTGAATCTTTTTCTTGAGAAATTTGTTGAACTTTCTGACAAGCAGTCCAAGATTTTCACTTTCCTCCTCTGATTCTTGACTTCTTTCTTCAACCTTGAGTGCTATATTTCTACCTTTTTTCTCAAATACTTCTTGCTCATTGAATCTGTTAATTTCCATTTCATGTTCTCTGAGTTTGCCAAACAATGAGGTTGTTGTCATGACTGATAAGTCTTTTGATTCTGAAATAGTTGTGACCTTGGGCTGCCATGACCTGTCAAGACATTTCAAGACTTTAATATTTAGTTCTTCTTTATCAAAAGTTTTACCTAAGCCCATTAGATGATTAATGATATGAGTGAAGCGCTTCTGCACATCTGCAATACTTTCTCCAGTTTGCATTTTGAACAACTCATATTCTCTTATGAGAGTATGCTTTCAGGCTCTTTTTACATCAGTTGTTCCCTCATGAGTAACCTCAAGAACTTCCCACATTTCCTTGGCAGATTTGCATTCCTGAAAAACTCATCCATATTTAGTGCAGAAGTAATTGTGTTTTTAGCAGTACAATCACTTTGAACTTTTTTCTTTTCTTCATCATTTAAACTAGACCATTCTTTTTCTGTAATTAAGGGACCATTAGCAATTACATCCCAAACATTCCTATCAATAGATTCAATAAAGATCTTCATCCTAATCTTCCAAAATGGATAATCTGTTCCACAAAACAGTGGAGGTCTATTAATAGAAGCTCCCTCAGAGAAAGGTAATTTGTTTTCAGCCATTAAAAATTTGGACCGAAAAGCCTTGAGTATTTTTCAAGATCCTTGCTCTTGATGCCAATTGTTAGAAATGTAGGTTGAGATCAAGAGGGGGGGGGGGTGAATTGATCTTTGAAAGATTTTTACAAATTACAGATTATCTATTTCAAAGATTAAGATTCCAGACCAATTCTTGAATCACCCACAACAAGCAATCAAAAGTAAATGCAGTGACAAGAATAAGAGAGAAAGGTTTAGAAAGATACAACCAAGGTTTATACTGGTTCACCCAATCCCAGGGCTATGTCCAGTCTCCAGCCAAATTTCAGCTGGGTTCCACTAGATTGAACGTTTTACAGATTACAACTTTAATCTCACACTCAATCTACCACAAGAACCACAATTCCAGTTCCTGCACCTAAACCTGCACCAAGAACCAAATTCTAGTTCTTGATCAACCCTGCAGCCAAATTCCAGCTACAGAAACCAGTGCCGACAATTCCAGGCACCCACAATACAGTAAAGAAAGTAAAGAAACAAGTAGAAGAAACTTAGAACGTTTAAACCAGATTTATGAAGCTCTACAATATGTGTTTCTTCTCCAAAAGAATGCAATATTGCCTCAAGAAAGAACTCCTATGAACTTCACAAAAACTAGCGCGATTCTCTCTTGAAAGTAGCACTTATGCTTGCTTGATTGATTGTTAAAAGATGTGTTTTAAAAAAGTTCAAGCAACTCTGTTTATATAGAAGATTTTCAAAACTGCTGGTTTATTTAATCTGTTAAAATAATCTTTTAATCTGTTAAAAGTCTTGTTTTAATCTGTTAAAACTTCTTTTAATATGTTAAAATGTTCTTGATTATTTTCCAGATTTGTTTTAACTGATACGACACCGTTTATATCAATTAAAACTCTTTGTAAAAAATCTTCTAAACTGTTTTAATCGATTGTTTCGTCTTTCAATCGATTAAAATACTGCAAAACATTCTTGTAAACTTTTCTAAGTGATTTTAACTGATAATTATCTGTTTTAATCGATTAAAACACTTTGAAAAAGATTCACTTAGTTATTTTAATCGATTGAAACGCATTTTAATCGATTATAATTCTGCCAAAAGATTTCATAAAACTTTCTAAGTTATTTTAACTGATAGCAAGCTTGTTTTAATAGATTAAAGCATTCTGGAAAAACCTCTTAGTTGTTTGAATCGATTATTTCGCATTTGTATCGATTAAAATACTTGACAGAACAACTTTCAAAACACTTCAAGTTATTTTAATCGATTATTTCGTGTTTGTATCGATAAAAATTCTGCAGAATACTTTTCAAAATAGTCTAAGTCATTTTAATCGATTATATCAATTCTATATCGGTTAAAATATCGCGGAAGGTTTTCAAAAATCCTTCTAATGAAAACAATCGATTATTTCGAAAACATATCAATTAAAAACTTGTTGCAAAAGTGTTAAGAACATTTTAGTTGATAAAGCTTGTAAACTATTAGTTAAAATAGTTAATTAAAAAACTTTTGACAAAATACTTTGTTTTTAACCGTTTAAACGCTTTTTAGAGGCATTTGCAAAATATTTTAAATGAAGAAATCTCATGCAATAGAGAGATAAAAATGATTATACCTAAGCAGAGATTTAGACTCACTAATCCCACTACTCTTGTATCTAAGTGACCTTTGACTGCCATTTGACTTCATTTTTTACTTCATCAAATCAACAAGATCTTTGCCAAAGTAATTCAATAAGTTCTTCATCACTTTCACTATGGACTGGACAAGTCAATCTAAGGCTTAAACCAAAGTGCACAGGCTTCCACTAGTCGTGCCAAATCCATTATCTATTGACTTGTTCCTTATATCCAAGTTGAATAACACGCATGCACTATTTCTTGCTTGAAATTGAGCTTAATAGTAAATTCCTTGGCATTAGAAAAGGATGCAACTCAATGAAAAATAATAAATCTAGTGTAACTGAAATTCAAAAATTCTAAGTGATATGTCAGATCATTTCCTATTGACATGCACTATGATGTTCTTCGTTGCGGTATGTATTGAAGGTTTATTGCTGACATGTGGTCAGAAATTTTCTGTTATGGAAGCGAATGGCCTTAGAGCATCTCCAATGCATAAGTTTTAAAAGAGATGCTTGAGTCTAAAAAATAGGGAAACATGGGTCCTATATTGCCATATCATGGTTAAATAACTTTTATTTAATTTTACTCCAATGGTAAAAATGTCAAGCAACTCTTAACAATTTATTATTTTATACCTTTTTTATATTATTTTAATATATTTTATAAATGTATCAAAAACTCCATGTTCACCGAGGTAAATGCATAAAAAAAAAGACATATTTTAGAATATGGTGCTGCTACATTTGGCAGCAAACTTGCTTTGGGAAAAAAATGTATTAGTAACTTATATGTCATGGGAAGGTTACTGTTCTTAAGATGATTTTGTACTCATTAGTGAGCGTCTGGTTTATGAAGATGCAAAATCTCGCTCCCATGGATTTCATCTCTCTTCTTCTCTCTCCTTATCTACTCTCCCGAAACCCTCTCATATCCACCGTCTTCATATCCATCGTCTTCATATCCACCGTCTTCAAATCCTTCTCTCACTATCCATTAACAACTTCTTCAACTAGTACTCGTTTTTCGTGTTTAGGTGTGCCTTCATTTGACTGAAATTGTTCACGCTGTGCTTGTATTTTGTGAAATTGGTGAGTATAATTTTGAAATTGATTATGAAATTGTTCATACTGTGATTCTGAAATTGGTAAATATAATTTTGAATTTGATTTTGAAATTATTCATTATGATATTGAAATTGTTCACATTGGTAAAATTGATTTTGAAATTTATTATGATGATTAATTATTCATGGTTCTATATTGATTTTGAAATTGTATGCTATTAAAATTGATTTTGATGATGAATGATTCATGGTTCTTGTTCCTACCTTTGATATTTTCTAGTTTAGATTTGATTTGTTGTATGCTCAAGAAAATGAAGATAATCATATTTTATTTGAAGCAACTGTTGTTTCTTCAAACATTTTTCTGTTGAGATGGAACAATGTAATTTACTCCAATATAATAGTTATTTGAAGCAACTGAAATTCTTTTTGAAACACTCTGCATTGGAGATGCTCTTAGTACCAACTGACAATAAAGTATTCGAGCATGAAGTGACGGTCTTGTCAAAAGTGAATAAACTCCAAAATGGGTCACCCTTTTTCCTCGTCTAGACTTGCAAAAGATAGTAAAGCAAAAATAAGAGTGAAGAAAGTACATTAGAAGCAGAACCTAAAAGCCAATGTTTATTAATATTAATAGTAATAATAGCAATTCATAAAAAGGAAATGTAATTTTCATGGTCATATTGTCAAAAATAGTAAGGCAGAAGCATGATGTAGGAACATTCATCTGGATCTTTACCAACCAGAAAGTGACAAAGCATGAACTGATTGAAGAACTCGATCCAAGACGTCAACTTGAAAGTTTGGTTCCAGAGGTTAACACAGGATCAAACATGTTCAATTGAGTTGTTTCTATTTGTCACAGAACATAAAATACAAAGTTAGATGCATGTGCTGCATTAGAATGATCATTTTTATGATCTGAAAATGAATAAAAAAATCTATAGGATCCACAATTACGAACTTTGATCATCTATATTGGTTGTCAGGAAAAATTGAACTTAACTGGTTCTTTATTTCATTCTTGAATTAAGGGAGATTTTAGAACGTTGTACATGATTTTCCTAAAGTCTTGCACCTGATATAGTTAAAAGAAAATAGTGACATAAATTAGTCAAATGTTCTTGAAATAGTTTTATGTAACACGTAAAAAATTTTCCTTAAGTAGTTTGAACCCAAGAAGTGAGTACTAAGCTATTGTGATCACATGTGAATAATAAAAAATTAAAAAATGTGGTGAGTACTTAGCTATTGTAAGGTAAAAAATACAAATTGCTGTCTATATTGTGACACTGTCAAATAAGATTTAGTTCTTTAATTATAAATAAACAAGGTAGGAAATAGATTGTCTTGGCTACTACTAGGTTTATTACTTAATCAATCCTTCGGTATAATGTTTTCTTCTCAGAGTCAGATAACTCATGCAGCAAACTAACAAAGTTTTAAGTCAGAGTGGATAAAGTTAACAGGTAGAACTCTTTAAATAGTAGAAGAACATGGTTCACACAGTTCATGAATCAGAGTTTAAGTCAAAAATTATATATATGTAGATAAATTGTGTGTAAGCTTAAATAGTGCATTAACAATTTGATATGTTCTTATATACTGGTATACAAAAGAAGCATGTGAAGAAAATAAGCAAAAGGGGAAGAATGCATTTCTGAAAATGAACGTGTAAAAGAATAAATAAGATAAATCAGAAACAGTGGTGCTGCAGGATGTATATGATTAGCACACTCAATCAAGGCCTTCAGCAGTGGTGCCAAGTCCCTTCTCCATAGAGTTCTTCCTCATTTAGTCCAAGATGAAGAGCACACATGCACTTGACATGTTACCGTACTAGCTGAATTGCTGGTCCACCAGGGTGTGCAATCCAGAAGATAGAGTTGTAATCAGAGATTCCCAAGGGTCGGAAGGCTTCATCCAAGGCCTTCTCAATGATTGAGTTGAGTCCAGGAACATCCTAGAGGAGATGGACTGTAAGTCCAACTTCTGAATGTTCTTTTCCCAACTCATAATTTTGAATCTTTTTACATGAGTTTGTAAAAAACCTTTTGGAAAAAAGAAATAAAAAAATAACATTAAATAACCTTAAAAATCAAAAAATTTTAACAAGTTAACTTATATATAAATTAATTTTAAATTCTAAAATAATTAATTTCATTTTTTTTAATAAAAATGGGGAGAAGTTGGTCTAAAAATATCTGAACATCCATTAACTGGATACTGTTCCTCCTCTCCCAATCACAAATTATAAAATCAAAGAAATTTCTTAAATCTACAGTTGGGGCTTTCAGTATGATTAAGTGTGTTCTCAAAATGTAGTTTTTATTTCATTCATCATCAAATGATTGTTCAGAAATTTTAATGAAACTGATAGAATTTTGTCCAAAGACCAAAGTATCATTAGGCAACACCATTTCATAAATTACAAATTAATGCAGGGATAAACATGGTCGCATGTTAAAAATGCCAATAGTTGATGTTAGTAACCGTAAAATAAAAATGATAAGTCTAGTTGTTAAACAACTTGCCAAAGAATATGAAAGTCTAGTAAACAGGACTGAAGTTGTGAATAGGTATTATTTTTTCCTAATAATTACCCCGGATTACTTCACCTAGGTATGCGTATAACAAGCAGTATAAAAGAGAATCTTCTACTAGGGTATGAGATGCATCTAATATATATCAATCTAAAAAATATTCTTGTAAAGTTATGAATCAACTTCAGTCATAGCTCCTCACCATAACCTAGTAATACAAAAATAGAAAGTTAACACAAAAATCCAAAATATGAAGAAGATCCGGTAAGTAAAGATTACAAAGAGCACTTGCCAGAGTACAGGTGAACTTTGTAAGAGTAAAAAAGTAAGGAAAAAAAGGATAATTAGATGTAAATCTAAATACATCTCTCAATTTCTTTACTCCCTTTAAATTATCATTATACCAATCGCACAGCAACACATCTGACATGTGCACAAGGATAAAAACAAGGCCAGAATTGACTTATAGTTAATAGAACATAGGATATGAACTTAGTTAAAGTATAGCAGCAAAAAGTAACAACGGATGAAGTCTAGATGTGTTGCTGCTTCATTAGCATTACAAGAGTTTGATAGCACATTAAATAACCAACAGAAAATTACTCCTTGAATGCATGAACATATATTATATAGGCTTCAAATTATAAAAGGTTTGAGTAGAAGCATTAAAACATGTATTGGACAAAAAATGTGACCTTTACACTCATAGTTTCATAGTTCAGTACAGATAAAAACAAGGGATAAAAAGCATTATTTATATCAATTAGTTACACTAAAATATTATAAACTAAACAAGGTACACAATCATACCTAATTGAAGAAAGTACAATTAAAAATGCATTCAACAGATATGTGCACTTTTTTGAGCCTTCTTGCAACAGAAATGGGGCCCCCCAGTGTAGAGATGTGCAAAATGGCAGCGATTCATCATCCATCAACAATGAATTGATCTTCTTGATTATCTCCCTCAACCCTAGTGTCACCATGAACAATTCCATTTACATGATGCAAATTTTGCATCATTTGTGAAAGATAATGGTTGCTGGCACTAGTATGATCAGATAGGCCAGCAGGTTGGGCAGGCCACTGAGAGAATATACCAAGCAATTGGCTAGTAAGATTTTGTTGCTCATGAAGAAACCGAGTCTGCATCTGGCCCATTTCTGCTCGGTGCTGGCTTAGCATCTCATCAACCCTCTTCCTCCATTCTAGCCTCCTGCAATTCATTCTTTCCTCCCATTCCCTCTCATGAATCAATTCTTCCTCTCTCCTTTTCCTCTCCATCTCTTCATTTTCCTTCTCCATAGCTTCCCACTCTGCCATCCTCTGTCTCCTAAGCTTGTCCCTCTCCTTCTCCCTCTCCTCCCTCTCCTTTTCCCTCTCCTCCAGTTTCTTCTCCCACTGCTTATCAAGCTCCACTCGCAAGTTCTCCCTCCTTTGCCTCTCACGCTCCCTCTCCACCTCGCGCTGCTCAAACCGCGCCTCCATTTCCCTCAACTGCCCCAGCTGGTTACCAAGAATCCGCCATGCTTTCTTTTCCATCCCCTTCACAGCCTTCCTCTTCTTCAAACATGACCCATTCACCTCCCCTTCCTCCTCAAACACAAAACCATTCTCCGCCGCATCCTCCCTCTCCCGACCACTCCCATTGTAATTCACCTCCCCTTCCTCCGCCTCATACTCAAACCCCAACCCCATCACCTCATTGTCAACCCCATTCATAGCAGCCCCAAAATCCCCATCCCCAGAATGACCCATCTGCCCAAACTCAACCATATCCATACCCCCACCACCAGCAAGAAACCCATCTCCATGATCCCCATCGCGATCCCCGTGATCCCCATCCTCAATCACCATCAACTCATTGCCACCATGACCACCAACTACAAGTGCCACATCCCCAAACACATCCTTATACCTTAGGAAGTTAGACCAATGAGTAAGCCCCTCCACCCAATCAAACTCATTCCCATCATCACAATCCCCTCCACCGGACCCCGAAAACTCAGGCCTCTTGATCTTCTGCTTCACCAGAAGATACTGGTGTCGCATGTTCTGCACCTTTGTCGAAACGTCCTTCCAACTCCACTGCCAAGGGTACGCCACGGGATCGCGCACGTGATGCACCGAATTCACGTGACAAGCAATCGGCTTGAACTTCTTCTCACGAGTCCTCATCTTCGCTAGGGAACCGTCCGCCACCATCTCCCCGTACTTATCGATTAGGGTTTTCTCCTCCGCCTCGGTCCATTTCTTCCGTCTCGGAGGAATCATTGGGAACTAACAATCCCAACGCTAAAGCTCGCGCTATCTTCCTCTTCTTCCTCGCCCTCCTCCTCCGCGAGCACCAAAACCTTTTCCGATAGCGATTCTGATTGCATCGAGAACGCGAATATCGTGCAAGTTGCTTTAATTTTTTTGTTTCCGCCTTTTCAATTCGCGATTTTAACCTAGGGATTGGTTGATCGAATGATTCTCTACGAAAATCTAAAAATGAGAAAAATAAGAAGGATTGAGCTTGCTTACCTTTTCTGGTTTCGGAATTGGAATTAACAGAGCGGCGTGATGTTCCTGTAACGTTAAATTTTCTCGATAAATATCCAAATAATAATTCAAAGAGTGATGTGAGGAGAAACTATATTCCAAAGCTAAACTGCTACCAAAAATTTTCACACCAATTTTATTTTTCAGAATAATAGTCAATTTTTTTATCTAATTATGTTTTTATATAATTTTAATAAAAAAAATGAAAATTACAAGTGGTGGACATGTCTGGGTGTTATTCCGCATGACCAGAAATGTTTACTAAAAGATTAACTTTACTAAATTTCTTTCCTTTTTTTTATCCTGTTTTCATATAATGTTAATAAGAAAGATGAAAATTACATTACTATTTTTTTTATCTGATTATGTTTTCATATGTAAATAAGAAAATAAGAAAAATGAAAATTACATTACTAAATTTCTTTTTTATACAATGTTAATAATAAAAATGAAAATTACATTCACAGTGGTGGACATATCGAGTGGTTATTGGGCATGGTTACAAAACATGTGAGCTTTGCAACTTCGAAAGTGATTTAACTTAATTTTACTGAATATAAATATTTTTGCTTTATTTTATTTTATTAAAAAGTTTGAAATTTTGAAATGATTAAAAGTGATTTAAATTCTTTTAAGTAAATATGTAAAATGTTTATTTTTTTATTAAAAATTTTAAATATCTAAAATAGAAATTATATTATATTTTTTATTTGATAAAAATTCACGTTGTTGTTCCATTAAATCATTTTTATATTCGTAAATCATTTTTATATTCGAAGTATAAGATAGAAATAATTAATATTTAGGATAAGTGAAAAATATAAGTACAAAGAATATTATAATTGATTTTTTTTTATTTTTTTATTCTTTTTTTTATCTTGATTACATTTATATACAAAGTTTGAAATTTTAAAATAATTAAAAGTGATTTAAATTCTTTTAGAGTCAAACTTTACTAAAAATAATTTTTTTTCTTCATTTTTTTTATTTTTTTGCTTTATTTTATCTTGGTTATATTTATATACAAAGTTGAAAAATTGAAATGATTAAAAATGATTTAAATTCTTTTAATGTCAATATGTAAAATCTTTATTTTTATATTAAAAATTCAAATACCTAAAACAAAAATTACATTATATTTTTTATTTGATAAAATTTTATGTTGTTATCCTTTTGAATAATTATCAAACTTTTAATTCAAATAATGAGAATATGAACAATTAATGCTTATGACGAGTAAAATGTACAAGAAAGAGAGGAGATTGTGATTGATTCAGTCTAATTTTTTTATTATTTTTTTTGCTTTATTTTATCTTGGTTATGTTTATATACAAAGTTTGAAAATTTGAAATGATTAGAAATGATTTAAATTCTTTTAAGGTCAATTTGTAAAATCTTTATTTTTTATATTGAAAAATTCAAATATTTAAAACAAAATTACATTATATTTTTTATTTGATAAAAAATCATGTTGTTGTCCCCTTGAATAATTCTCACACATTCAATTAAAATCATGAGGATAAGAACAATCAATACTTAGAATGAGTAAAGAGTACAAGAGAGAGGATATTGTTGAAAGTGTTGAAGATCTTATTGAATCATTTAAAACAAAGATCTTGTTGATTTGATGAAGTCAAAATGAAGTCAATGACTATTCTGTTGTAGTCAAATGTCACTTAGATAAAAGGGTAGAGTGATTAGTGAGTCTGCATCTTTACTTAGGTATAATCATTCTTATTTCTCTGCTGCATGAGGTTTCTTCATTTAAAAGATTTTGCAAATGCCTTTAAAATGTATTTAAACTGTTAAAAACAAAGTATTTTATTAAAAGGTTTTTAAGTAAGCTGTTTTAACTGATATTATATGAGTTTTATCAGCTTAAAATGTTCTTAACAATTTTGTAACAGGTTTTTAACCGATATGTTTTCTAAATAATCGATTGGTTTCATTAGAAGGGTTTTTGAAAACCTTTTGCCAGTATTTTAACTGATGTAGAATTGAAATAATCGATTAAAATGACTTAAGTTGTTTTGAAAAGTGTTCTGGCAGATTTTTAATCGATACAAATGCGAAATAATCAATTAAAATAACTTGAATTATTTTAAAATATGTTTTGTCAAGTATTTTAATCGATACACATGCGAAATAATCGATTAAAACAACTAAGAGATTTTTTCAGAATGTTTTAATCGATTAAAACAAGTATGTTATCGATTAAAATAACTTAAAAAGTTTTATGAAATCTTTTGGCGGAATTCTAATCGATTAAAATGCGATTCAATCGATTAAAATAACTAAGAGGATTTTTTCCAAAGTATTTTAATCGATTAAAATAGATTGTTATCGGTTAAAATCACTTAGAAAGTTTTATGAAAACTTTTGACGATATTTTAATCGATTAAAAGACGAAATAATCGATTAAAACAATTTGAAGGATTTTTTACAAAGTGTTTTAATTGATATAAACGTTTTCGTATCAGTTAAAACAAATTTGGATAATGATCAAGAACATTTTAACAGATTAAAAGAAGTTTTAACAAATTAAAACAAGACTTTTAATAGATTAAAATATTATTTTAACAGATTAATTAAACCGAGCAGTTTGGAAAATCTTCTATATAAACAAAATTGTTTGAATATTTTAAAACACATATTTTGGCAATCAATCAAGCAATCATAAGTACTACTTTCAAGAGAGAATCGCGCAAGTTTTGTGAAGTTCTTAGAAGTTCTTTCTTGAGGCAATTTTTGCATTCTTTTGGTGAAGAAACTCATTCTGTAGAGCTGCATAAACCTAGTTTGAGTGTTCTAGTTTCTTCTCTTTGTTTCTTTACTGTATTGTGGGTGCCTGGAAGTGTGGGCACTGGTTTCTGTGGCTAGAATTTGGCTGCAGGGTTGGTCAAGAACTGGAAGTTGGTTCTTGGTGAAGGTTTAGGTGCAAGGACTTGAATTTTGGTTCTTGTGGTAGATTGGGTGTGTGATTGGATTTGTAATCTGTAAAACATTCAATATAGTGGAACCCAGCTGGAATTTGGCTGGAAACTGGACGTAGCCCTGGGATTGGGTGAACCAGTATAAATCTTGGTTGTATCTTTCTAAACCTTTCTCTCTTTAATTCTGCCACTATCTTTACTTTGATTATTTGCTTTGTTTGATTCAAGAATTGATCAGAATTCTTAATCTTTGAAATAGATAATCTATAATTGCAAAAATCTTTCAAAGATCAATTCACCCCCCGTCTTGATCTCAGCCTCCTTTTCTAACAATTGGTATCAGAGCAAGGGTCTTGAAAAATACTCAAGACTTTTGGTCCAAATCTTTCATGGCTGAAAACAAATTACCTTTTTCTGAGGGAGCTTCTATTAATAGACCTCCACTATTTTGTGGTACAGATTATCCATTTTGGAAAATTAGGATGAAGATCTTTATTGAATCCATTGATAGGAATGTTTGGGATGTAATTGTCAATGACCCATTAATTACAGAAAAAGAATGATCTAGTCTAAATGATGAAGAAAAGAAAAAAGTTCAAAGTGATTGTACTGCTAAAAACATAATTACTTCTGCACTTAACATGGATGAATTTTTCTGGGTTTCTCAATGCAAATCTACTAAGGAAATGTGGGAAGTTCTTGAGGTTACTCATGAGGGAACAACTGATGTAAAGAGAGCTAGAAAGCATACTCTCATAAGAGAATATGAGTTGTTTAAAATGCAAACTGGAGAAAGTATTGCAGATGTGCAGAAGCGCTTCACTTATATCATCAATCATCTAATGGGCTTAGGTAAAACTTTTGATAAAGAGGAATTAAATATTAAAGTTTTGAAATGTCTTGACAGGTCATGGCAGCCTAAGGTCACAGCAATTTCAGAGTCAAAAGACTTATCCGTCATGACAACAACCTCCTTATTTGGCAAACTCAAAGAACATGAAATGGAAATTAAAAGATTCAATGAGAAAGAAATCTCTGAAAAGAAAGGTAGAAGCATAACACTCAAAATTGAAGAAAGAGATCAAGTATCAGAGGAGGAAAGTGAAAATCTTGGACTGCTTGTCAGAAAGTTCAACAAGTTTCTCAAGAAAAAGATCCAAGGTAAAGAAAAACACAAAAGGTATGAAAAGAAATCTGATTCTTTTAACTATAAATGCCATGGCTGTGGTAAACAGGGTCATGTAAGAATGGAGTGCCCAGAAAAGAACAAATACAATGATAAGAAAGAAGAAAAGATCAAAAGAAGAACATATGTAGCATGGGATGACAATGATACTTCATCAATAGAAAATTCCGATAATGAAGAAGCTAACTTGTGTCTAATGACTAATCAAAATTATCAAACCAGCAGTGTAAGTTCTAACTCTTCTTCTAATTTGGTGAATTACAATTCATTATAAGAGGCATTTAATGAAATGCATGAAGAAACCAAGAAACTTCAAAAAGAAAATGATAGGCTAAAAGGCATGAATAATTGGTTAGTATATAGAGTTGATTCTCTTGAAAAGAAAATTCTTGAAGATGAAACTGATCTTGATTTCTTAAAATTAATCCATGATAATTCTGATTGTGTATGTAATAAACCATGTAATAATTGTCCAGAATTACAAAAGAAGATTGATTTTTTATCACAAACCGTTTCAAAGTTTACACAAGGTCAAGCTAATCATGATGTTCTTCTTGGGTCACAAAAACTTATTTTTGACAAATCTGGCATTGGATTTACATCTAGCAAGA